CTCTCTCCCTTTCTCCCACTTTCGACTTTTTAATTAGCTGCACCGAGGCCTGCCACGTTTAGCCATTATCAAGCCCTTCATAGCACGTAAGCAACCAAGGCTGTTTGTGCGTAGAAGAAAACAGCTTCACGTGTACGGAGTGGATTTGGTTCCTCGCTAATCCCTGGATACGCAGCTCCCAGGCTAAAGATTTGCCTAAAAGTTTCACGCTAGTCCAATGTGTAAATGTAATAGCTGAGCCAAACTGTTCGATAACTAAGGGGTTGTTAGGGTTATTCTTTTGGCGTTTAAAATGATCTACTGCATTTGACGAATTCTAAAAAACCTCAGGCCAAACTGGAGGTTGGATTCTGTCCATGCTTCCCTGCGTCGCGTGAGTCCTGGATCTATAGCCTCAGTCCTCGTTATACAGCCTGAGAGCGGATCCCTCCCTTAACCCATTACTGTCTTAAGTCTAAAATGTTGGTCTACATGAAAAATTATGGAAAAAAACTGAAGATCACTCTCACACCGCCCCCACTGTCAAACCTGGTGGTGGCAGCATCATGCTGTGGATTGCTCCTTCAGGAGCAGATTATACACTTGTGTTACCACAAAGTGTTAACTTAACTTAGCTGAATACTTTTGCCCTAACCCCAAAGAGAATTTCACATAAATATTTGAGTATTTTGAAAATGGAAATGGATGGACAGTATGAGAAAGTTTAGTGGGATATGAAAACATATTAATTCCATCTGTTATGTTGAACTAAGTAGAAAGTGTAGTTGTATTTAATCCATCCATTTTCTTCCCCTTAATCCATTTCTGGGTCGCGGGGTGGCCAGAGATGCCACCCAGTACACATAGCACCAGCCCCTCACTGATCCTCCTGCAGGTGGTGAGTCCACAGGAGGATGGCTGCTTTATGGCATAGCGTTGATCTTTCAGTGGGGCTTCAGGCAATGTGGGGTTAAGTGTCTTGCAATGACAGCAATCATGAGAGCAACAATGACAGCAGTCATCAGTGGGAGTCGGTGGAGAAGGTCTCATGGTGGGCTCGAACCCACAACGTTCAGGCTCAAAGGCCAATGCTCTACCAACTGAGCTACTGTCGCATAGTTGTATTTAATATTGAACACATATGCTTGAAAATATGCAGGATCATAGCCAGGAGTAAACTGTTTGTCCCCTGTTGGCCCTAAGCCAGCCTCAAAGTACAGAGAACATACATAAGGCATGGACGTTTGTCTTGTCAAGTGAATAATTAATTATTGCTAATATCATTGTGAGTAGATTTAGGTTAATGCTAAATCCCATATACAAGATATACAATGTACATAATGCAACATGTCAGAAGTTGTCAGAGCTGCTGCCGTTGTTCAAGTCTTGAGCTTTCTTGGTCTGGACCTTCTTGGAGGATCGCCTTTTGTGTATGTTTGGGTCGTATTTGTGAGGTTGGTTTTGCTCCACATACAGTAGTTGTGACGTTCCTGCCAAGATACTAATGTCTGTTTCATGGTGTATGGGTTCTTTTGTCGCATGCTTTTGTGGGCAGCAGCGTTTGTAGACCATATATTCTTGCCGGGCTGTATTTAAAACAATGCCATCGCAGTGTTACATTGTCCTCGGAGTGCAGTAAATCAGATGACATGTTGTGAGAGTGAAATCTGTTTTACTGAAAGAAGGCGCACCGCAGGGACACAGCCCAGGCTTCTCTTTGTGCCCGTCCTCAGGCTCCACGTCTCAGGTGAAGTGTAACTGGATGCAGCCTGTTTGTGGAATACAAGGCACTTGACCAAGGGCCAGCAGTGCTCCTCCTGCCCTCCCTCCCCTCTCCTTACCCTGCCTGGTTTCAGTTACAACTCCCCTCCTCAGATGGTGCAGGTAAAGGCCAATCCTAAAACAAATGAAAAATGTGAGCATATTTGTTGTGGGCTTTGACAGGTGTTTCTCCCTGGTTTTACTTAAGGTACAGAGCAGGTGGTGTACCTTTTCACCAAGTAATGTTCTCTCCAAAAATACTCATCTCATTGCACTGCAGCAGCGCTCCACTGCTGCTAGGGTCAACAAAACCTGGGATCAGGTAGCTAAATACACCACCCTGCTTTTCCCTGCCGCTGTCAGAAAGGAGGGGGTGAGAACTCCAGGGCAGAGTGGCTTGCCTCACTTCAAGAAAGTTGTGGATGAGGTCCCCGAGCCAGAAGAGCGTGTTTCTCACTGAGTCTGAGTTTCTCCCTCTGTCTGCGGGGGTTCTCTCTTGACAGTTTCCCACATATCCACAAAACATACACCAAAAGGAAAAACCCTCCAGCAAAGATGCTTCTATAACCTTGAGATTGGAGGTGGGTCCTCTGCAGTATATAGTAGACAGTAGCCGAACCTTTGGACGGGTCAACTGTAGAAATAAAAGTATGTTTAAGTATCCCTGTTTGTTTTATAAAGATGGTTCCTGTAACTCCCTGTGGCTCAAAGAATAGACTTTAAAGCAGCTCTGTTCTGTAAAAGTCGCTCCATGGTCGTGCTCCAAACTACATCTGAGACATGTTAGTGCCGTATAAATCAACTGGGACTCTGAAGAGCACAGGGACTGGACTCCTGCTGGTACCCAGACTTAACACTAAACATGGGGAGGCTGCATTTCAGATTTATGCTGCTAAAATCTGGAACAGTCTTCCTAAAAAATGTCAAACAGGCGTCTACTCTGATAATCTTTAAATCCACTGTTATGCATTCAACTGAAGGATTCTGATATAAGGGTTTGAATTCCTTTGACTTTTTCTATCTTATTTTATTAAGCACTTTGACTTGCCTTGTGTATGAACTGGGCTATAAACATAAACTTGCCTCGCAAGTCATTTTTCCTCTGCACATTAAAAACCATTCAGATTTCCCTCCTTGCCTCCCAAATATTAAAAATAAAACACTGTTATTAACATGTATCACTGTACATTATAATATTCGGCCATGCTCACGATCCTATATACGATGCATGGTATTATATAGATTACCACTAATGCTTAAAGCCGACTTTATCGGAGCATTTTGTTTCCCTCCAAAGCCTCTGACCTCACCGCGCTCCGTGGTCGACGGTACTTGGACGCACAATTCAAATCAGCGGAACGTTACATTAGTCGGCAGGTTCATTAATCAGGAGCGCGAGGGCTTCTCCGGCGACATGGGAAATTAATCAAAAAATCCGACATTAATGACATGCACGGAACAGCAGTGGTTACGAGCCGCCACAATGCCATCTGATTTAAACCTGTTACTCAGACTGTGCTAATGATGCCACCCAGGGCAAGTAAAGCAACCTCTCGGTGTTCTTTGAAACAATAATGCACTAACTATCAAGCAATTTTCTTACATGTATTGAGGAGTGTGTGCGCAGAGACCAGTGGGAGCCGCAGCAATTACCAGGTGTGCGGTTTTCCACCCAGCGGGACCTCTGGTTTTTAATACGGACTGTTGAAATCTCTGGAACTGTTGGTCATACTCTTATTTTTAACTACACAACTACTTCAAAGGGAAAGAAATCTGGAGAATGATTAAAGCTGAGAAAATTCAAATGGTATATATATGTTTGTATGTATGTATTTTTTCATGCAGACTATCATCAACTATCAGCGGTGTTTCAGGTAGATTTGTTTCTCACACATTTCAAACGCGTTGAAAACAGATTCTACGGACGCGTGCTATAGACAGATTTATAATTAGTAAGCCATATTTATTTATATAGTGCTTTTCACAGACCAGAGTCACACAGCGCTTTACAATTGTTGTGTGTTTGTCTCTCACTCCACACATAGATAAGAGCGGGTTTATAGATGTATTGATATTGAAGCATTTAAAGCTAGCTACGAAACATAGCAGACACTTATATTGTATGCTTTGTCTTGTATGTACGCTACAACATTTAAAATTCCCCACTGTGGGACCAATACAGCTTCTCTTATCTTATCTTAAATTATCTTATCTCACCAAAACAATCACTCAAGGCATGAACATCATAAATTAATCAACGTAATGAAAAATATCTGCATGAATAAACAAACTAACACCGTCATAGTGTTTCAATGTTTGTGATTAATAACAGATTATATCTTTCTTCACGACTTTTGCTTCTCACTTCCATCACACTCCTCTTATCAAATGTGCTGTTGCCTTACACTGGTCCCTGAACAGTCCAGTGGCTTTGATAAAATCATAAAACCAGGGAGGAAACCCAAGACTTTGGCCTAATTAGTTGAAAGGATGGCGAGATGAAGAGCTGAGAATCAAAACGAGGACGCTCTATTTATTAGCAGAGCTGGTAACGTCTTGATATTAATTCATGGGATTATTTAAGAGGACTTCGGGGCTTAGTGGCTTTACCTGTGAGGCCAGCGGCCATAATTCAAGGAAAATCAATTGTAGCTAAAGCATTTATTCCCTGTTACAGTACAATCATTTAAAATAGTCCTGCTGAAATGCTGTCTCCAGCTGTGTCTGAGTACAACCAGTGCAGCATCAGTCTCAAAACAAGTATCTCATTAACCATGGGATCCAACTATAAATGTCCGTTTAATGTCACTTTATCTGCTCAATTCTTTCATGGTAACACAACAAAATAAAACAACAGAAAAGTCATACATTCAATAAAAAAGAAGATGAAGAAAAAAGAATCTTATAAACTCCTACCCCGTTCTTATACAAAGAGACTTATGAATTAGACGGCATCAAAAATACAAACAATAGCTCAAACCAGACAGACAGACATATAGAATGACATACAAAGATTGAAATTGACAGCGAAGCATTTACAGCTACCTTAGAAACATAGCTGCCATTTATATTGTATATTTTGTGTGCTCCCTGTATACTCTCACTACTGTCCTGTCTTATCCTATAAATGCATGTAAATTGTAATGTTAAATCTGGATTGCGCTGCTTCTTGTTTTTGACGACTTTCTTTGTGTGATTTTGTTTCTCCGCAGCCCCACAGAGAGCACTTGCACATACACCTGACACCTCCCTGTGCACAGCTACCTGTCCAGGTATTCCAGTGATCCTGGCCAAGCCCTGTCAGGTGGAGGAAAGCCTATCCCACGGCTGCGGCGGGAGGGGTGCAGTAAGTCTAGCCGGTGGTGGGGCAGGGCAGGAGGGAGCCGGAGCAGAGACAGGGGGCAGGTAGAAGGGATCGGATTCAGGCTCCTGGGGACATGAGTCTTGGCGTGGCACCACACTGCCCACCCAACATCAACACTCTCAGGTTGCCTACTCAGATGGGCCCGATAATCAGCCCCTCCGCAGGGACCATCTGGAGGCAGGCGGGAGTCTGACATGGCGGGTCCGGCCCCAGCAGCAGCCCCGGCACTGCCCTGGCCGCGCCGCTGACAGAAGATGAAGTCTTTTACTGATCAGGTGACCGAGTTCTCCCACACATGTTTGCGGACTTGAACGCAGCGGCCCACGTGATTCGCTCCTCTCATCTCTGAGTGTCTCCAATGTGATTGACGCCCCTATCCTGGCTGAGATCAGAGGACAGGCACAGCGATTATCATCTTGCTCTGGTAACCGAGACACCCTTAATCCCATAATAATCCTTCACAGTCAGTCAGCACAGGAGTGTCTTGACCTCCTGCAAGAAAAACACACTCCTCCTTAAAGCAGCCAATTATGGGCAGTGTATCTGCTGAATGTTTCAGTGGTGTTAAAGCGCTGCTTTGTATCGAACGTCTTATTGCATTTTCAAATGTGGCCGACCTTTTTGCTGCTGTTTGTTTTTATAATGTGCCGCTGTCCCCCGGTGCTGGGCCATCTCAACCGGATTTCCATTTCAGCCAGACATTGTGTGGCCATACCTGCACAGGAAAGCCAGATCCTGTCAGGCCTCTGAAGCTAAGTTAAGTAGGGCCCGGTTACTACTGGGATGGGAGACCTTTAGGAACACCAGGGGCCACAGTGGTGCGGCTGTATAGTGCCAAATTGTTGTTGTGTCCTTTGGCAAGACACCCATATTGCCTAGAATGAGTCTGGTGTGCGTGTATGGATTGAAGTGTCTTATCCAAAAATACGATATATATATAAAATCAATGCATTATTATTATGATTATTATTTATGTAGGGACTTATATTTATCTCATTCTTAATGAAATGAATCCTTGTAAGAGATAAATACATTTGCTCTTAACACTCTGAAATGTTTGTATCTATAAATTTTGCATTGCATTATTCAATATGTGTCCGGAGATAAATGTACGAATTATATTTGAAAAGATTAAACTGGAGTCATTCTAAATAAAAAATACAATGGATGTTGGATACAATAATAATGTTTAGGGTTTTTAAGCAGATTATCCAATCAGAGAGCAGAATGGATTTTCCTTTGGGTTGCTGGTTTGTTATGTGAAATTTAACTGATTTTTGCTAAATTTCCTTTTTATATATAAAAATATATGTTATAATTGTTTAAAAGCTTGATTAGTTTCCACATGGCTGCTTAGCCTCTATCCTATTAATACTTATGATTTCTGAACTCCATGACCATGTTGTCTATACATTTGAATGTGATACACAAACATACAGTTTATGAATTAGTCTTTGTAGTGAGGTTTCTAACGTAATTGAATTGAATAATGCATAAGACATTTCTTTGAATCTGAATGTTTGTATTTGATGTCTCACCACAGACTGAATAAGACTTTTGTAACTCACCACTGCCTGATGCTGTGACGTTCTCTTCCTTCTGTATGAAAATGACATAAAGCTGATTCAGAGTGTTCCCCTCTCGTCCGTATGATTTCTATGAATATAGATACTGTACGTACATGTCTACAGAGGCTTCTTGAGTGAAATGACTACAATCTTTTTTTTGTTATTTTTTGAAGAAGTGGAGTGATGGTTGGTTCACTCCCAGGAGCCCCTAACAACTGAGATGTGCTCTGCGGGGGGTCCAGGAGTCAATGGATGTCAGTGTTTAACAAGCTGTTCCAGCACTCCACTATAGACAGCGGAGACTGCAAAGTGCACACAGGACAAAGAGAGAGCTCACTATGCCGCGCGTGTGAATATGGTAATAACACAAGACTATGGTTTGTGACTTGAAGGGACATAGGCCTGTGCTTCACTGCAGGGGGCTGAATGTGTCATTACTGCACCTCCAACAGGAAATTCATTAAATGCTTCAAATTGTTCTCTTTTGGTTGACAAAGTGTTCCACCACACTTAATCATTCCAAATTCTGATATCAAAATACCTCTTCATTACCGGACCAATTACATTAGCCTATAACGCGGACGTCATTAATCTTTCTTTGTGTAAGCTTCCATAGATACTCACTCAGTCCTTCAAATGACACATTATGGTAAAAAAACAAACACATTTATTTGACTGATTGTTGTATTTATTCCTTATGACGTTTCGGTTTTTTAAGAGTGAATAATTGAATCTCGTGTAGTGGAACATTTCTTCTCGATATTTTTTCAGCCTAATTTATAATTCAAGTGTGTTGTTTTGCTTCCTGATGCAAAAGGTAAAATGATGATAATGATTTACTGATGGTTGCTTTACTTTAGCGTTTCCCACTTGATTACCTTTTAGATTCAACCTCTAATTCTAACTGGGTTTTGTGATTCAAAGCACTTTATGGATTTCATTGTGCCTCTTTTTCCCCCCAAACGTTCCCGTGCTCTCCATCTTACCGCCATATGTGTTTTTTATATGCAGCTGATGCCAAAGATTCCAAATGTGTCTCCAGATTTTTCCCAACATTCCCTAAAAATATGCTCTGGGTTCCTGTGCGTGTCTCTTTTTGGCTGCACTCCACTACAAGTCTCTGATAAATACAAATACATTCTTAAAAAATAGTGCCCACGAACTCCACAGGCGATTCCAGTTTTCTGACTGGTCTCCGCAGCGCAACTTAAGTACACATCCATCTCTGGGGCATTAGCGTGATAGATGTATTCACGCTGCCATTAGGGCTCAGGCTGAATGCTGTGCAAGGCTTGTGTATGCTAATGTGCCCTCTCACACCTGCAGTTTCCAATTACCCCCGAGGAATGGAGCCAAGCCACCAATAATATGAGTAATGGCCAAATTGCACCTCTCTAAGCCCAGGTGAGGAACCGGGGAGCACGGATCTGCATATAGGACCCATTAAAAGCACATTTATTTATTTAGATTGCATGTAAACCATACAGGTGGAACTCAGAGAATTAGAAAATCATTTAAAAGTCCATCTGCTTTACTGTATTTCTGAAACTCATATGTGAGAGATAGATTTATTGCATGAATAGTGAGATGTATAGCAAGGCCTGTTTTGTTATAGTTTTAATGATTGGCTCAAACCATGTTAAAAAACCCCACGTAAAACATCACAGAAAATTATCATATTCTGATGCTATAGATTGTAAATCCTGATCATCAACATTATAACAAAGGCTTGGTTTGTCAATCTACATGTAAAAGGTCTATATCATATACCGGTTTCACATTGTCAGTTGAATTATAGAAATAAATGAAGCTTTGAGCAATATTTGGATTTCCCAAGTTGCACCTGTGTATCATAATATTCGTTTTTTACAGTTGCATGATGATAATATTTTACTATAGCATTTACATATGAGCAGATTGGTGAACTATTGGTATGTTCCTAAGATGCCATTTTCTAAACACAAAACCCAAAAAACCCTACATTTATTTTCCAAAGATGATGCTTCTAAAACCCTACATTTCATAATCATAATCCCATTCTTTCATCAAACAGATTTTCTCTATTACTTTTGGTCAAATGTTATTGTCCTTTCTGTGTGTATTTGAAATATTTTAATAAAAAGTGTAATGGATTATTTTCATTGTATGTTTTTACAGTGATGTTTTAAGACAAACTGATGTGTATATTTTGAATTAGGATTTTATGAGTCTGTTCAGGTATGACTGATTTCATATGGAAACATAACATACACTTAACTCATTTGTTCTTCTTATGTCTTATAAAGATTATTCCTGTAGATTATAATAATATATTACTCTATATACAAACCCCCTTTATGGAGTAATATGGGGACCTTTGTAGCCAACTTTTTGAATGTCTGTTTTTTATTATGTGCCGTTGAGTTCATCTGAATGCAGGCCTGATGCCCTTCTGTTCGATGTATACCGTCCTTGTGTGCACCTTTCTGTATTTCTCCAATTACCTGAACAAAACCGCTCTCTCCAAAGATAATCTCATGGAGGCGCTTTTAGTTTGCACCTGGATTACACAGCAGCATAAGTTTGACACGTGTTCAGGTCACTGTCACAGACTTATGTGTCACTTCTCAAACACTTTCCCCCATTCTTTGCCTTCCTATGCACGCTCCCCTCACTTCCAGGCCCGTGTACACATATGAATATGTTTATGGGGTGAGGAGGGGGCCACCAAATCCGCAGAGAGGACTTGGCAGTGGCTCCTCTGCCTCTCGCTTCATTGCTTCGGCCCCTTACCAAATCCTATTTCACGGTGCCAAGCATACGTTCTCTGGGATCTCCACAGCTCCCCATCTCCAGACGCAGGTTTAAGCCTTTCTCTTGGCAGCCGCGCCCGGGCACCGCTGAACAGAGACATGTGACGCGCACTCGCAACAGAGACGAACAGAACGCACCTATTATATTTGCGCGCATAGGTGCAGGGGCCCTGGGACGCGGTGATTCACTCCTTTTACACACTCCGACACCAATTCTCTCAAGCAACAACACCACAGACTAATATAGCTGTTAGGGCGTCAGGGTTTGATGAACTGAAGACTAAACACTTCTTCTGTTACGTTTGTTTTGCTGTGAGGGAGTGTGAACTCATACTTCAGTGGCCCTCCAATTAAAGCTAATCAAAGCAATTAATTAGATGCCAAATTACCTGAATCTGCACCAACAGCGTCCTGCCCGCTGAGCTGAGAAGGCGTGTGTTCAGGGAACTTAGGTTGTGTTTCTTTAGGGTTACCACAAGATGGCGCCATAGTCATTCTGTACAGGGCTCTCACCATTCCAGGTTTGTGACAGCTTCCAAAGAATGTTTACTTTTTAAATTACCTTGAATGTGTTTGCTGACAGACACATCATTATTCCTTCAACATTCTTGCACAGCCCTAAATCAACACAGTATTTATCTCTTAACAATAAATACTTAAGGGACTTAACAAAACCCTTGAATTCGCCAACACAGATCAGAGAATCAAATTTTTCAAACACAAGAAATGCCATGATATAAAAAAAATTAAACATAGAGCCATTGGTCCATAAGGGGCAGATGACCAATGTCTTAAGGCTGGGGTATAATTTGTTTAAATTAATAATACATTGTAAATACTTTTTTGCACGTTTGAAAGTAAGTAAGAATCCAGCTTATCAGGGACAACACAATAAACATTAGTCTAATACAAAGAAAATATGTTATTTGCCCGTTTTTAGCCAAAATGCCATTTCCCAACCACAGTCCCTAGATGTGGCGGTACTATGTCTATAAAATAATTGATTGAAAGTTTTATTAAGCCACTCCGCTCCAGAGACTGTTGTTATATAGCCTGACTATTTTTAATTAAAAATATCGCTCATGTGTTTCACTTGATAGGCAAATATAGTGATAGATAAAACATACAGTACGCTGCATAAACTAACAGGGATACAAATGTGCGTGAGCCACTCCCTGAGCAACATCCTTGTTTGTGTAGAGCCTTTACTTTACTAACAGTGGATTAGAAACACACAAAGGAGTGTGTGTTAGGTCTATGTGCAGAGGCATCAGACATGTTTCTCTCCTCAACACTTCCAAAGCCTGACGTCAGCCTCCTGTAGTATCTCACACTGCTCCTGAAGCTGCCCGTGTCGTGGTCAGTTGATACGTTGAGAATCACATGTGCAGCACAATAGGATCAGTGTTTGTGCTGACAATACACAATCAGCTCCTCGCTCTGCAACAGGAGCCGCGACCAAGACTCAAAACATGAGTGAGATCAGTTAGACAAGCTTCCACTCTGTCGGACAGGCTGCAAAGCAATAATCAGATCATCCACAGACTACAACTGTGCTTAGTTTAGACAGTAGGAAAAGAAACAAACCATTCCTATCAGTAAAAAATACCAAAGAACAGCCTTTGATATACCAAGGCAGGGGTACTAACTTTGTGTTTTTACTAAACTTAAATTTTTTTTTAAAAAGAAATCACATTTGTCACATTTTTGTCATACATATTCACAGACCATGCTCTACAAAGAAATATACATATTTGCATAAATATGCACACCTACACAAACACATACAGTACATACATGCACATCAATACACGTACATATACACATAAGATAGCCAGATAAGCAAACATTCACAATAATGAAATGGAATCAAATAAACAATAAAAATAATAAGACTTTTTTTTACTGCAGATACAATAGATGTTCGGTTACATTGGGGGAGCTTGGAGTAGAGCCGCTGCTTTTCCACATCGGAAAGAGCCAGTTGAGGTGGCTCGGGCACACTCTCAGCTGGCCTGGGAACGCCTTGGGGTCCCCCTGGATGAGCTGGAGGAAGTTTGTGTGGATAGGGAAGTCTGGGCGCCTCTGCTTAGACCCCCGCAACCCGGCAACGGATAAAGTGGAAGACAATGGATGGATGGATAATACATGTTGTTGGAGTGAAAGGAAACATGCCCACAGCAATGGACTGGTGCTTTATGAACCAGGATTACTTACTTTTTTACTATTTACAAAACAGTATAACTGTTTTTCAACCACTTTACAACTATAACAATTCTTGATATATGACACACGACTTGACAGAATTGTTTCATACTGTTTTAGAGACAGGAGAAGTGCACTCTTTGGTTGGAGTTTTTTTTTTTTTTGTGGTTTGGAAGTTGGATACCCCAGCTTTAAGTAAAACAACAGTAACTAAGTATGTTACGTGTTGAGAAACAGTTTGTTGACATTTACAAGAAGAAGTGTTAAGAAAAGTATAGCTGCCAAGACAAAAGACAAGTACAGTAATAATATATGTGAAAATACATACCTGTCCTGTGTTTAGTAGAAGAGGAAAATGCTGCTACAATAAAGGACTTCCTGACTGTAGAGAGCCTCAGATCCTCACTGACTGCTGCACTTCATGTGGGTAACTTTACATATGTTGGATTTTGGACCACAACAAAGTATAAAAAACTGTGAATTTTGTATTGAATAACTGAAAGAGTGTTTTTTGTTTACTTGAATGTATCTACTCTCAATACATTTAGAGCTGTTCTGTGAGGCCTCAGAGATTTTTATTGATTGTTTTTGTCACTAAACAGCATCACCAAGTCCAAGAATCCCCTCATTGTTAGTTGTTAGAAACATCCTCCAGCTCCGGTCCTGGAGATGGGTCCCTAGGCGCTGTTACTACGGCGAACACTGCTCCTGACGTAAGCCTTAATGGCATCAGGACGGGTCAAATGCAGAGGAAAAATTTGCCTACAGGGACAATTAAGTGCATTTACATTGTTTTTCATGTTTTGAAAATCTAACATCCATCCATCCATTTTCTTCCCCTTAATCCATTTCTAGGTCGGGGGGGTGGCAGTCAGAGCTGCACCCAATTCACATAGCACCAGCCCCTCACTGATCCTCCTGTAGGGGTTTCAGGCAAAGTGGGGTTAAGTGACTTGCCCAAGGACACAAAGACAGTAGAATCAGTGGGAGTCGTGAAGTAGATCTCGTGGCCAATGCTCTACCAACTGGGCCACTGTCGCCCTGAAAATCTATCAAAATCTAACAGCACAGTTAAATCCATCATCTGGGAAAGAGAAAACAACTGTAAATCTACCAGGACTCAGCTGTCTGCCCAAACTCAGAGCTCGAACAAGGACAGCACTGGTCACAGATGCAGACACGAGGCCAATGATTACTCTGTCGGAGCTGCAGGCATACAAATCCAGTGTTGAAATAAAGCCACAAGAAGCAAAGCGGAGGAAAAACATTCAACATGTGGAAGAAGATTGTGTGGTCAGATGAGTCCTAAAGTGAACTTGGCCCAAATGCTAAATGTTATATACGGCTCAAAACTAACACTGCTCATCTCCCTCAGTAGAACCAGCCTCAGTGTCAGATATGGGGGTGGCAGCATCATGTTATGGGGCTGCTTTTCTTCACCCGACACAGGAGAGAGGGATGGGAAGGAGGATGAAGCAAAATACAGGATAATCTTGGATGAAAAACTGCAGAATTCAGCAAAACACTTTGAGACCGGCGGATGTTTACCGACCATCAGGACAAACATACAGTATAAGGGACAAGAGAAACAAAGGCTCTTCATAATGGTTCAAAAAACAAAACATGTTCTTGTGTTAGAATGGTCCAGTCAAAGTCAAGACCTGAATCCATCTAATCTGAGTTTGTATAATCATACTTCTATGATTGCAGCAAATGGGGATTCCACAAAGTACAGTATTTACAATAATTTATGCAAACCCAACTTTTGAGTTCTTGTTGTTTTAATAACAAAATGATATATCATGTCGTGTCACCGGTCTTTCAGGAAAAAATACAGAAAAAAATCTTGTGAATGTGACAGGCGAAAATGTGCAGAGGTTCAAGCTGTACACTGCAAAAACTGATTAAATACAATAAATACTTAAATCAAGTAGTTGTTTGTCATGTTTAGCCTAATTGTTTTATAAAGGACTATAATAATAAGTTGCTTAACACACTAAATATTTATAATTTTGTAGAAATCAAGAGTTGAATGTAGATATACTTTGCATACTATATGACAATGATTTATGTATGAGACCGTACAGGATCCTTTACATGTCAAAATCTGTTTGGTCAAAAAGGTAATGTGAGAAAAATATGTGTGCTCCATATGCATCTGCCCTCACCCAGAATGAAACAGAGGGAGGCGGGCAACAATGACCCAGTTCTTCCACCGCAGTAACCATCACATGTATTCAGGAGCAGAGACACATTTGCAACACGTCCAGGACCAGGCCACTTACTACTGTTTACTGTTGTCGCCTTGTATATACAGTATTTTCTTATGTTACAATAACGCTGTCTGTGAATGAAGCCTTCACAAAAACGCAAGCAGAGCAGATGTAAACAGCCCCTGATGTGTACATTAGCGAGTCAGGTCTGAAAGCGCGCCATACATTATTAATCATGTCTGTGCTAATTGAATGGCACATGTCTACAAATGAAATGTCTGGCTAAGGATAACCACCTCCTCCTCCTCCTCCGGTCGTATAGTTCAGTGTTCCCCAACCTTTTTGAGCCGTGGCACACCTTCACTGGCAACAATCATCTGAAAGACTACCATCTGAAAAATTATGTAAAATTTTAAATCTGATGAGAATGACTTTGCCAACCCTAACCCTTTGTTAATAAAGGCTGCAAAGTATATTATATAGGAAATCAGGCAAGCGCAAAAAGTCTATTTTAGTTTTGAGGTATTGTTCATTTTGTGTGCTCCTCATTCCTACTGTTCTGTAACCGGTGAAGCAACACTGACATTTCCCCACTGTGGGACAAATAATGAATTAGTCTTCATCTATTGGACCATTTCCAAAGGCACACCAAACAACATCTCAAGGCACAGTGGTTGAAAAACACAAAAAGAGTTTACAAGACAAGCTGTGTGATAGAAATCTCTAACAACTGTCATTGTGTTTCACCAAATGATGCACTTTGGCAAAGCAAACAGTTTTATGGCACAACAATGATGTAATATAATAAAGTGTCAGCTGATTTATTCTGCATTAACAGCCGGTGTTAGGGCAGATCACATGGACTGAGGCTGTGTGTACGTGTGTGCCTGTGTGTGTGTGGGTGTGTGTATGTGTTTGTGTGTGTGTGTGTGTGTGTGTTTGTGGGTGTGTGTGTCTGTGTTTGTGCGTGTGTGTGTGTTTGTGGGTGTGTGTGTCTGTGTCTGTGTGTGTGTGTGTGTTTGTGGGTGTGTGTGTATGTGTGTGTGCGTGCCTGTGTGTGTGTGCGTGGGTTTGTTGTGCTAAGGGGGTGTCTGACATTTAAAACTTGTCAAATGCCGCTGTCTAAATATAATCAAAGGTTAAATATACAGTACTAGTGAAATGTTAGTACAACTGTAAAACTGCTGAACATGTTGATATGCATTTAGGAAGTGAGTTATAGATCCAGCAGGATTTTGTTAGACCTGTATTTAGAGATCCTTCACACAGTAGAGAAATTTCAATAATGTTTCAGCGCGCACAAAGTCTTTAAAAAAGTCTATATATGTATATATATATATATATATATATATATATATATATATATATATATATATATATACATACAGTATTATGTAATATGTCTGTTGTGGGGTGACCAGAGAAACTCCAGGATAGTTCTAGTTCAAGTCCTGTGACAAAGTTGAATTCTTGGACCCACATGAAAGAAGTGTTTATCATAACCAAATATTTGCTCTTTATTGGAGATGAGCTACTTACAGGTTGTAAAGTTTGAGCACACAGCAGCTCCATGGAGGAGGCAGACACAATTGGAACAGTCTGGTAAAAATGACCTCCTTACCACTTCTTGCCTGTTTTCTCTCAAATCTGTGAAAATTTGGAATCTGTCAGGACCGTTTGTCAGCGAAGCTGGCGCTCTGTAGTTTTAGCCTTTTGTTACTAATTTACTCTAATTATATGTGGGAACTGTCTGCACAGATGAAGTCTCCCTTCTCTGTCTTCAAAGCGCTATATTTCAGGATTCTTCTGGACACAACAAAGTGGACCGCCTTGTGGCATACATCTGTACGACTGAAGAGAAGAGACTCTAGATCACCTCTGTGGGCCGCTCCAGTCCGAATCAACCTTTACAACTTTATAGTGGCGGGACTTTGTAACATAAGTTAGGGAGACAGGACGGGTTCGAATCCCAATTGGAACAGGGTCTTTCTGAGTAGAATTTGCATGTTCTCCCCGTGTCTGCGTAGGTGTCCAATAACACTAAAAACATGCACAATTGGTAAATCCTCCAGCTCTGGTATAGTCCTGACTCCTTACCCAGCTGAGTATCCTGCGACCACTGCTCCCTACAGAGGCGGTGGTGGCATTTGCAGGATGGGTCAAATACAGAGGACAAAGTTCCCTATGGGGATAAATAAAGTGCACATTTATGAGTGTATCACACATCTGCGAATAAATGTAGCTTGTTTTTTTTTATGTTTTAATGCCTTGTGATCTAGTATCATTTATTAAAACACTGGAATTTCCATGTTAATACTTTCACTACATGTAATTCCTGCCGTGCCTCTTGAATCCACTGTAATCTTACTTATTGATCTGTCCTTTCCACTGTATATCATCCCCTGACCTCATGAGTGTTCCCCATGTGACTGTGTATCTGCTATTTAGAGAACCTGCTTGATGTTTCTCCTGGATTGCCCTGACAAAGACCTTTTGGGTCAAAACACATCGTCCTTTTTTCCATTAAAGGGTTTTTACAGATTGCATTAGTCTTCCACCTTTTCCTTGTTATTCTTCACTTCTACTCTTTGCAAATTTGCAAGGCCAGTCAGCTATTTTTGTTCTCATTGTCCACATCAATTACAAGTGCTTTGGTAAATATAAAAAGGGTATATCTGGTGTCAGAGGGCTGGCTCTAATAGATCAACTGTAGATTTGTGATTCCCCTTTCACAGCGGAGGCCAATCTCACTAAACATGAAGGGATCTGTATTAAAGCATGAAAACAATCATTTAGAATCCCTATATAGTTATTATTGTATAAACTAGCATTAGCAGCTTATTGGATGCTTGGGCTATTGCACTGACTGGATGCTCCACTGAATTTGGTTGTGTGGTTTTAACATTGTAATGAAATAAAGTGGAATCTAATATAATCTAATCTAATCTATACACATTTCAAAGTAATGTTGCTCACCCATCATCTGTATTTCAGCAGGTTTTCCCGATACAGATGAAGTACAGATGATGGGTGAGAAATCTTCCTTTGTTAAGAATAATCCTTGTACGACTGAGAGTTTACACAAACGCATTGCACATTGTTGGATTATATTTTAGTTGTGAGTTTGGAGATGCAACTGGGCCTGATTCTTCCCAGAATGTTTTGAAAATTCTAGTATAAAAAAGACATTTCCAGGAGTTTGATGTTGAGTTATATATAGATCAATGACTGTTTTTCTGATGTCGTTTCTGTGAGCACTGGATCTCCTCAGGGATGTATCCTGAGTCCTCTGCTCTTTACCTTGTACACTCACGACTGTGTGGCTTCCTCTGACGCAAACTTGATTGTCAAATACGCTGATGACACCACCATCATTGGTCTCATCAGTGACAATGATGAATCCTCTTATAGAGCAGAGATCGAACATGTTTTTCAGTGGAGTAAAGTAAACAATCTCCAGCTGAACACTGCAAAAACATGTGAACTTGTCTTTGACTTCAGTCGTAGCAGTTCTCACACTCCTGTTGTTATTGACAACTCCCAGGTGCAGACCGTAGAGGAGTGCAAGTTCCTGGGTTTAACTCTGTCTAACGACCTGAAATGGGACAAAAATACTAACCGGGTCGTTAAGAAAGCTTGTCAGCGGCTCTTCTTTTTGCGGAAACTTTTTCCAATAATTCTAAGATTCTGCTTAACTTTTATCGCTGCACCATTGAGAGTTTACTTGTTGGTTCTGTGTCTGTGTGGTTTGGAAACATCACAGATAAAGAAAAGAGAGCTTTAAACAAGGTGCTCCGCTCTGCAAAGAGGACCGTGGGCTGTGAGCTTCCTGTTCTGGAGGTTCTTTATACATCCAGACTTTTAAACAGAGCTCTTAAAATCATCAATGATTCTTCTGGCCACCCTGGGAAAGCTATGTTCCAGCTTCTTCCCTCTGGCAGAAGATATTGGTCGCTGAGATGCAAGACATCTCGCTATGCTAACAGCTTCTTTCCACAGGCTGTTAGGTGCCTAGAGCACTTTAATTCCTGCTTTTACCCCTTGTATCGTTTTTGTTGATCGGTGCCACAGTGTCAGCTGTTTTTTGTATTCTTTTATTTTCAGTGTATGTGTATTTTATATTACATTGTATCATGCTCTTTATTCTGTCGGTGCACACAGAGTACCTTCTTTGCAAATGTATTCCAATGTAGTTTTTATACTGCACATGGCTAATAAAATGAATCTGAATCTGAGATATATATTTTTTCTATATACTTTATTTTTGAGTTTTTGCCTCAAAAACATAACAAGGCAACAATTATATTAACTAAAGGAAAAGATTACATACAGATAAAAAAGATTGAAACAAATGTATATAGTAATGAAAATAATAATAATAATAAAACACAATAATAATAATAATAATAATAATAATAATAATAATAATAATAATAATAATAATAATAATAATAATAAACTAAAGAAGGGAAGTTTTTTTTTTTTTTTAGTTATACTTCTAAGCAAAAGAAGAGTAGCATCCAGAGGGCAGCCGTGGTTGATTCAACACGTCTAACGGGTGTAATCTTGTATGATGGTATTGCACACGCATGGCCTACGTATGTGCCATCACTTGCCAAACTCCAGTCCAATGCAGCCCTCTCCCCTCGCGTGTATCTGACAGCCAGTCCCCGTGCTCAAGGCGCCAATGGAGCAGAAACCAAATCAGACTACAGCAGCCGTGCGCATGCGTGCTGCTGGCGACATCTCCGGTTGCGCGCTGCGTGTGTGTGTGTGAACGACCACCGCTTCCACCGAGGGCCACCGCTCCAACAGAAACATCATGAGGGACCGATTCACGCCACAATAACACACGCACCCGGGGTCTATTCGCACACGTACAAGACTCCAGCGCGCTTCTTACTCGTGGTGGGCGTGTGAAATGTAGCCAGCGGCCGGAGTGCGCCTAGTGTCGCTCCACGGCTCCTCCATAGAGATGCCATGAAAATCCGAAGAGGCGACTGACTGAGAGACTACTGCTGCTGCTGCTGCTGCTGCTACTAGTGCTGCTCATACACGGCGGAGAGATGGACACACACGTACAAACCCATGTTAGGTAGCGTTTTACGAAGACTCACAGAGAGAGAGCCTGGCGCACGGTTTGTCGCCAGGATGGATTTCAGCCGTATACGGAATATCATCACCAGATACGTAAGGCCCCCGTCTGTCAACACAACTGTAGCGTTTCTTACTCATACACACCGTAACCGGTTCCATTCGCTCTCTGTAACTTCTAAATGCCGCTGGGATTGTGTGTCTTGCGTTTGCCACTGACTTGTATAGGCTGTGTGGTGTTGTTGTGGGCTTGAATGGGGAATGTGCCAGTGGCTACAGATGGACACATGGGTGGCGAATGTGTTGCATTGGGATGGAACTTGGCTGTTCCACTTTGGTTGTTTTTGTTGGCAAATGTGTAACTATCATGACATAGATTCTTATCTGGCCTCTTATACATAGTACCACAAACACAATGGTGCATTAGCTAAACAGAAATGTATAAGCTTGTTTATGTTTAACTGGTAGTTCATTTGATACTATATATGGATTGTAATTCATACTATAATGGTGTTCATAGAGTCATAATCAATGCTTCAATGAGTTTAATGGTACTATTACTTATAGTAATAGTACTATAAATACTATTATCCATGGAGATGTGTGACTCCGCCAAGTATTATTGTAAAACCATTGGAATTTAAAACAATATCTCTTTTTAGCTGAAAATGTTTCTTGTTTTGTCATTCTGGTGTGGCACTGTGAAAGTACTGTGAACATGTGTAGCTGACTGTGTGAGGGCTTACAGTTTCACAAACCTGACTCTGGCTTGGCATGGCATGTTGATATGGTTTGGCACCTATACCCCGGCTAAAGAAAGATGACAATGAATCTACTCCAGGATCTAGAGTCTAGACCAGGGGTCTCAAAACGAAGAGATGAGCCAATGAGACATTGAGTCCCAAGTCCCATTGTTTAGGAGAAGGTGATGGGGAGGAGGAGGGCTGTGGCACAAGCTTGAGCGAGCACTGTTTAAATGCAGACTGACTGGCAGGACAGGTGCAGAGAACCTTTTAGCTAAAAACTATACATGTTTTTTTTCATTCTGGTAAGGCACTGTAAAAGTACTGTGAACATTTGCAGCTTGCTTTGTGAGAGGGCTTGCAATTTCATAAATCTGACTCTGACTTCCATCCAGAAAGACGCTGACAAAGAATGTATTAAAATGATGTCTATTGAGTGATGGTGGTGGAAGCTGAAGATATGAGCCAATGGCACAATGAAAAGTCTCTTTGTTGAGTAGAAGGTGAGGGGGAGGAGGAGGATTGCGGCAGAAGCTGGAGCTGAAAATGTAGCGAGCACTGTTTAACTGCAGACTGACTGGCAGGACAGGTGACAGCTGAAGATGATCTGAGTCTCAGATATGGACATTTATCATCATTTATGGACATTGGTCATCTGCCCCTTGTGGATCATTGGCTCCATGTGTTTTCATCATTGCATTTGTTGTGTTTGAACTGATGATTCTCTGATATGGCGAACTCGACGGTATTGTGAAGTCCTCCGAGATAACTACTGTTGTGATTTAGGACTATACAAGAATATATCTGTTGTAGGGGAGGGACTAGGGTATTAGGCATAAGGGTAAGGAATTAGACAAATCTATCTCCATTGAGAATATCACAATATTTTTTACCAGTCAGAATGTTAATGTTGTTGTTAAGTTTATACCATACAGTGGAACATTCCTGACATGATATGTAGTAGTCAAGGGGGGAAAATCACGAACACAATACATGCTGTATCGCAATACGTTAGGAATCACAATAATATTAAATTGTGGCCGAAATATCACAATACTATTGAATTGTCAAATTTTTGCCAATTCCCACCCTTAATATATAGCATTACTAGACACAAGCAGGTGATGGACCGTCTCCCAAAAAGCCTGCAGTATCGTACATTTTCACGCCCTTATTACAGGAATATAATCCTGTGACTGGCCTAAATGGGCTGGTGCTTCTCGCTGACTTTGATGATCTGCCAGGATAGGAAGCAGCTGGCTGGTGGGCGGCTGAATTAGGCTGAAAAAAGTCTTGTTGGAAGCAGCACTGACAACCCTCATCAAAGTCCGGAGTACCATCACATCTGCGGCAACCTGGGACCCTTCAGATGACCTCAAAGCCGGCTCATGTTGCACCGGATAACCACATGATGCTATTTATTTATATTCTACAATCGTTAGGCCTGACTTGCTGTGTGTTTTTGTGTTGAAATCCGTGTGCATAAGGGCTTTTGGCGCTGCAGTTTGAGTCCTGACTAGAACCTGGAAGTACGATCACATCAGTCCAGTTCTCAGGTCTCTGTTAGTGCCATATGAACCAACTGGGACTCCTGCTGGTGCCCAGAGTCAGAACTAAACATGGGGAGGCTGCATTTCAGATTCACACCCCAAAAATATAGAACAGTCTTCCTGAAAATGGGAGACAGGCTTCTTCTCTGACAATGTACAAACCCAGGATAAAAACAGTTCTGTTTAGCTTTGCATACAACTAAGGGATTTTATCTTTACTCTTTTTAATGTACTGTGATTAATATTTTTAATGCCTTGTGTGATGGTTTCAATCTTGTTTTGTTCAGTATTTTGAGTTTCCCTGTGCTATAAAAATAAACTTGCCTTGGCTTGCCTTTGACAAATGCTCCAGCAGTTGTAATATCAGGGGAAATCAGATCTACGACCGGTCAAGACGGGCGTGGAGGAGGGTCACTCTGCACACCTCTCATTTCTCACCTCCCTGCCCGGACTTCTCCCTCTGCGTCCAGCTTTGCAGCATGATTAAGTAGGCGAGGGATTAATCATTAATTCAATTATCTGGATATTGATTGGGAATGGAAGGATGGGTGATGTACACTTGGGTCCTGGCCGTCTTTATAGCCCCCATTAACCTCGGCGTATTCTCTCTGCGGCTTCTCTTGTAACTGGCACGACTGGGAAGGACGAATATAACATCAAACAATGCACACAAGTGGTCGACCTGGACGAGCACAGAAGTACGTTCACTTTGAGGATCAGAGAGAGGACCGTCGTTAGAACGTGGTGTGAAATGATGATTGCATGAGTTGTCCTCAGCCAAGGGGAGTGCATCATGTTATGGGCGGCAATCATGGGATTATATAATGTAGAAAATAGTCCATCGATTCATGGTGACATCTATTATTATTTTCAAGATAGAGATTTTATACTTATTTTTTATGCTAAAGTTAGAGATTTTGTTTCATTTCAATTAGTATAGCTATTGTTCACTCATCGTGTGCTGTGTGCTCCTCTTTCCTACTGTTCTATAACTTGTGATGCAACACCGAAATTTCCCCACTGTGGGACAAATAAAGGATCTCTTCATTTTAATCTTAATGTCATATTACCCTACTGTAGCAAAAGCAGGAACATTATGTAAAGATTAACCTGGGGTACAAAGGTTTGATACCAAGAACGAATAGAACGATGTGACTGAATCCATCTGACTAGTTCCTCGCTCTCGGAACAGTTTGATTCTCTCTAGTTTTTAAGTATTTGTATTTTTGGCCTGTTTCACGTTTTTAGATCAACTTTGTCAGAAAGAAACTTAAAAAGAAAGAAAAGAAAAGACCAAGCTCAAAAAATAATTGCATGGCTCTTTCTTACAACTACATGTAAAAGTTTACATGTTTTCTAATAAGATGAAGACAGAATGTTACTGTCTGATTTGTTCACCACAAACACTGGTTCTGTACAAAACAGGTACAATTTATGAGATAAGGCTAGATACCCCGGCTTTAAATGAATCAACTGGAGATTTCCCAATCCAGCTTTTTCAAGTCTACACTGCAGAGAGTGATCATGTCAATAATTTTGTGTAAGATCTCAGTCGTACAGGGATTAGTCAAAGCAAAGGAAGGTTTCTCACCCATCATCTGTACTTCTTAGCAGGTTTTCCCGACGTTTCGTCCTTCATCTAAAGAATTTTTTCAATGGAATGAAATCTCAGACCGCGCGTTGTTTTATAACCTATGGGTGTGGTTAGACACACCCTAAACCATAGTTAGCATCAGGATTAGGTGTGGTTAACCTATGAGTGTGGTTAGCCATAAATCTCCAACGCGCGGTCTGAGACTTCATTCCCTTGAAAAAATTGTTTAGATGAAGGACGAAGCGTCGGGAAAACCTGCTAAGAAGTACAGATGATGGGTGAGAAACCTTCCTTTGCCATGTCAATAATTGCTCAAATTTGGCCAATGGGACAAGCAAAAGAATCTTATTTTAAAAAGATACAAGAAATGTCTCTCTTGGAATGAGAATATAAAGCAACAGTTCTTGAAATAGGACTAGATGACCCATTGGATAATCTTGTTTTAAGACAGTCAGAATGTGCTCAAATTCAAGTAATTATTTCCACATATTTTATCATTACGCGTACCAATATTGATACTTCGGCCTTACTTCATGCATCTTACACATTCTTTATTGTGGAAATACTTCTGTAAAAGTGTTTTGTGTCCTGTGTCATTGTGTTTTGCACACTGGGTGCGTAAATGGGACGTTTGCTATTGCGTAATATAACCTAAATCTATTCTGTACCTTTCCTTTTATAACATGCTGACTTTAAAGACTTCTCAGTCGTGTGCTCTTCCTCACAGAGCAGTGCATGCGTGCAGGCTGCATGTGCCTCTGTCTAATAATAGTGTCAGCATGGGATCTCAAGGAGGACCGTCTGTCATCTTTTCACAAATAGCTTTGATTCCCCATTATAGAAACACTAATACAATCATGGCATACTAACATAACAATACCATAACGTCAACAGTATTATAAGTAAGCTCTGGACTTATAGATATTTTTGTTGCAGCATTTTATTGGTCGTCTGCCAGAGGGCATCTTGGACTTCTAAATAAGCTATTGCTGAATTCAAAAGGCATTGAAAAAATACACATAAACACATATGATGGTTTATTGTACTTTTTGTTTTTCTATACCTCAGTACAGTGCACTCTGGCTGTGGACAAGCCCAAATAGGCAGGGTCAGCAAATGCCACAATCCACACAAGTACGCAACAACTTTGACGTATTTGACCCAACACACTTTGGGTTCCTCAAATAACCACATTCTTTTTGGGTGCGA